CATTGTGGTTTTAATTTGCATCTCCCTTATTACGAGTGATGTTGAACATTTTTTCATATGCCTGTTGGCCATCTGCATTTCCTCTTTGGAGAAGTTAGACCAGATAATCTTTTAGGTTTCCTTCTAGTTGTAAAAGTCATGATTTTTCAGTGGTTGTTTTCTATAGTAATATAGCCATATCCTTATGTAATGTGGAGATAAGAAGGTGGAAGGAGAGGGACCAAGATAGGGGAGGGATGAGCACAAGGGACTGTGTTAATGGTGCACATGGAGTTGGTGGTGGGAATTTTATGGGAACTACACCTGCGAGGAGAAAGCAAAAAATGTACAAAAATTGTACAGAAAATGAACAATAATGTTAAATATGTAAACATAAATAACTTAAAAAATAGAAAAAAAAAAGCAGAGTGAGTTTTCTTCTCTTTTTGTAGGTGAACTGCAAAGGAAGATTGGGTTGAAAGTACTTGAAATGAGAGGAAATGCTGTTGTTGGGTATTTACAGTGCTTTGATCTGGAAGGCGAATCTGGGTTAGTAGTACGAGCCATAGGAACAGCGTGTACTCTGGATAAATTAAGTAGCCCAGCAGCATTCCTTCCTGCATGTAATTCCCCATCCAAAGAAATGAAGGAGTAAGTATAAATCATTGAATTGTACTTATCTTCTACCTATACGTCTTATCTTGTTATGAAACATTTAGTAGAGTTACTAAACGTACACTTTTTTCTGTTGTAATTTTTCTTATCAGAGATGACTGTCAAACTTGAAGCTTAAAACTCTTCAGTTATTTCTGATCAAAATTTTATTTATACTGTGTTAATATGAAATTCAAATTAAGTATTATAAAATTAAACTTTTCTTGATATTTAGACACTATTTGCAGCTTAAAATGAACACTTCTACATTATGTGGCATTTTATTTAACAGATGGAGAAACTTTAAATCCCTATATTGATAATCCAATTAGATTTATTTTTAGCAATGTAGTATAGACAGCAGAAAACAATGATTTGTGTTGGGGGAAAGAGTTCCTAAATTCAGATGTCTATTGAGGTCAGACAGTAAAATAATTGGGTATAATAATATATACAGGTCTGTAAAGCCGCTGTTGGACAACTATCCTATAAATGGTCAGATAGTAAATTTTTTAGGCACTTGTCAGAGTTTCTGTTTTTGATTATTAAAATATGCAGTCTGTCAATCCTAAGGTAAAAGAATTTAATTTCAGACATTTAAAAAAAAATCTATGTGTGAATCAACAGATTATTCCTGTTGTGTCATTATTGTATCTAAGGCAGAGACTTTCAGCATGGTGGTGATACTGTCATGGAATATTACACATGAAAATTTTATGTCTTAATGTTTGGGCTGATGGTGGAGGGTACAACTCTGTACAATGAGGTTTTGTTCCATTCCAAAAGCCAGTAGTATTTTTTGAGAACCCCTGTTCTAGAGATTCTTCTAATTTAAAGGTCAATAGTTTTTTTCTGCAAATGATCTGAAGATATCAGTAAATAATGTTCATTTTGCTAATAGCAACTATTCGGCTCTACCATTGTAGCACAAAAGTTGTCATTGACAGTATGCAAGTGAATAAGTGAGACTTACTGTGTTCCAGTAAAGCTTATTTACAAAACAGTGACAGGGTGGATTTAGTTAGTTTGTAGTGTATAGTTTGCTGACTTCTTTCCTACTTGACTAGGAGACAGAATTCTGTTTTTGGAAAACCTAAAATATTCTTCATTCACCAGTAGTCAAGAGAGATTTGACTAGAAAATATTTTCATTTCTTTAAACAATTTTTTCTTTATCTTTACTTTATCCTTTTTGTCTAATGACTTGCTTCCTGGAGGGAATTAGTTATTTGGATTAAATCTTAGTCTGTAAAGGGAGCACACTGTTACATATATTGCCTTATCTTATTTGGCAATACATTGACATTCAATAAATACAAGAGTGAATCATTTTATATTCCATTTAAGATGTCTTTGAAATATATGAACTGCTTGCTGTTACAGGTAAAGTCAGAATGCAAGTGTAACTTTTTGAGGGATTCAGGTTTTTTTTGGATCTTTCCATAAGCAAACAAGCATAGATTTGGATCCCTTCTGCCTCCTCCAGCTGTCTGTACTGTCTGCAGGGGACTGGCCTTTGCAGCTGTGATGTCTGACCTTTTTGTTTTTTCACTAACCTATTATTTAGAAAGAGAGCTCTCTTACCTTTAGTATCTTGGAGTGATATATGTGATAGTAGGAGAATACATCTTGCCTGTACTCAGGAATTCCACTAAATTAAGCCATTAGATTTTCTCATTTGTAATTTTGTTAAGCCGTTTGCCTTAAATTGTCAAATAGTCACATCATAAAGTATTTAAGTTGCTTCATTAAGATTTTCTGAAAGGCATCTTACTACCTAAGTCACATTATTAAAGAAAAAACAAAACTAAAAACAGTACTTAGGCTGTTTTACTTTCACCTGCTTCTTTGTACACCTGGTAATGAATCAGTTTGGTTGCTAATTTAATTTGTCTTATGATTTTGCTAATTGTAATTGTTCTGGCATTTAATGATAGCACTTTTGATTCTAGACACAAATTTGATAAAAGATAGCTTGCGTTATATTTCTATCTTAATGGAACTAATATTAGAAATACCACTAGGGTTTTACTGTACGACAACCTTTTATACAGGGAGACTCATTATGGTTAGACTCTAGCGAATTTGGGTTTTAATTTGCTGTTGTAAATTGAACATTTTACAGTGTTCATTTTATTTGTTTTGTTTTGCCTTTATTAATGTATTCTACTCTGTCTATTTGAGTTTTCCTTTTTGATGTTTAGTGTAATGTACAATATAAATCTCTGGTGTTTTCTAGCTAAACTGTTTTGATAGGAGAAACTACATTAAAATGTGACACATTACTTTCTATTAAAAAAAGTAATTTTTTAGGAGACGTTAGCTGTAACTTCTCTGTATGGTACTATTCCTAAGACTTTTTAAGTTTGTTAGTCACTACAACAGAGAAAGAAGCAAGAACTCAGTAAGATGTAAAAGGACACTAATGAGTTGTTTGATTTTCATCAGTTACATTAAATACCTTTTTAATTTAAACTAGTAACAAAACAGAAATATTTAATACTGTAAAATCTGATGGCTTTAGAGAATAGTCTATAGAACCCATGAAAGAATGTTATAACCAATTATTGATAGCTCATATTTAAACCTTGACAGGTTATGATTTTTGGAAATGTCTCCAGGTGATAAAAAAGGCCAGGATGAGTTAGTTTTTGGTTTCTTGTTTTGCTTGTGATTTGAACTATAAAAGTGGGGATATAATAGTGTTTCAGAGTATTTTTATGTCGTTTTCTCTCTTACGCAAGAGCAAAGACATTGCATGGTGAAATAATTGCTAACAAGAAGTCTCTAATAACTTACTTATACAATATGCTTTCCTCCCATCCATTGTAACTGTTTTTTTTAGCTGAACTTCTTCTTGAACATTTTAAATGTTATATATGAATAATTATCTGTGTAACTGATTTAAATATATCCATCCACGTATATAGATGCCATCTCTTGCTGGATGTAAGTTGCTATCATAGAATACTTTAATTCATTATGCACTTTAAATAGTAAATTCTGTTAACAGACAGATTCACATTGCTTTATTAAAGTGTTTTAAAAGTAGTGTCTCTTGATTTGTTTCCAAACTATACCCATGATTCACTGAAAAACTGGCATGTGCCTATTTGCTTGTCTACTTTTGGTTGACTCATTTCCCTTTATACTGTCTTTTTTTCATATTCTTTGAATATGTCTACTTTGCAATTCTAGACAGAAACAGTTTGATTAAACTTTCTGTATGGAAAAAACTATAGCAGCAGTTATTCATATCTCCATTTCAAAGGTAATATATAAGTAAATAACAAAATTTGGACTTTTCACTTCTGTGGGTATTTTCTCCCTAAAATACTGTATAGTAGGTTCTATCGTAGTTAAAATAATAACACATTTTAAAGTCACTTAAAACCCAAATCTTGGACTTTTTATTTAAATCCACTGACAACTTTGCTTGCTTTTCCCCTATTACAGTCCTAATTTATTAATCTGATCCTTTAAAACTATAACTGGATCTTAACAAATACGATTTAGGTATCATTTTTTATTTCAACTTAATTTTTGCATGCTAGGGATTCACAAATAATTCCTCTCTCCTAACTAAAGTTCCTTGAAATTATTTAAACATAACTTTGCTATCTATTGTATGTATTGTTTTCTTTTCTTCCACTTTAACCACAAATTCCCTCAGGTCACCGCTGGTTCATCCTCCAAGCCATGGATGCCGCTCGACTCACAACAGCCCAATTCATACTGCTACTGGCTCACGACTTACTCAGAACTTCTCTGTGTCTGTTCCCACTCTCATCTACACTGGTACGAGACTGCTCAGACTCCAGAGCTGGGGAAAGCAGGCCATGGCAGAGTGGCTGCAGAGGGCAGGCAGGCAGGTAGCATAGGCAGGCTGCACAAGCTTTGCTTCCTCCTTTTTGTTTGAAGTCCAGCTGCAGTGAAGAAATCCTGTATTTAGCTGCCACCGAGGCTCTAACTACATGAAAGTCCCCTTCCAATGTCTCTTCCATAGATCCTCCAAGAACCCTGTCATGTTTGTGGGAGTTTTTGGAAAATATTCTCCAGTTTGTATTCTTGTCTTTATTTTTGCATTTGGTTAGAAATAAAATTGATAATTGGATTCTGAATGAAATAGCTGCCAAAGCTTCCGACTTGCTTTATTTTTATCATGTATAAAACCTGTAGGGTCTGTTTTATTCTGTGGAAGAGAGTTATTGGAAAACAGGTAAGCAACTGTACTTAATAAAATGCAGTGGTTCTATGGAGCTGTATTCATTTTCCTCTTTGTTGTGTTTTTAGCTGTGGCACTTGATGCTATAGGATAAGGAAACATTTCTCTTTCAAAGATATCTGTGTGTGCAAATATGAAAACAGTTGTGAATATTTACACACACTATTTGCGGTCATCATTTTTGCTTTCATAATTTAAGAAAGCATTGTTTCTTTGGAAATATTTCCAGTCGTGTATTCTTTTTGTTTATTTCTCCTTTTAATATTTTTTATCCCTTTTGTCTGTCATTTCATGCTGTTTTGCTTTTTACTTGGCTTGTTGATTGTTTCAATGCAGATAATTATTTATCTGGAGAATGATGAATGGTTAAACAGCAGTTGGTGGTCATTGGCCTTATACCCAGCTGCAGACTTAAGACATGACTGCTGGCCCTCCCCCAATACTTTCCTGGTGTTTGGATCATGCTGCCATCTGTCGTGTCCTTTGGCACATGATCACTTAATATTTCTCCACCTTCTTCTGGCAGGATTCCCTTCAATGAAGATCCCAACCCCAATACTCACTCATCAGGACCCTCAACCCCTCTGAAAAACCAAACTTATTCCTTTTCACCTTCCAAGTCCTACAGTCGACAGTCCTCTTCTTCTGACACAGATTTGAGTTTGACACCCAAAACTGGTAAGGCGCTTCCACCCACTTTTTCTTTTTTCTTTTGTTTTCAAATTTGTTTCTGTTTCTTATTAGCTTTCCATCCAAGCCTTTCTTTCTGATTTTGGCATTTAAGTTAAAAGAGTATGTGAATATTGATCCTTTTCACTTATTGCCATTAAAGTATGCAAGTTTGTATAGTTCAGAAATTATCTTGTTCAACAAGGAGACCTATATTTGTTGATTTAATCACAGTGTAATATGAAGTCTAGGATTTATTTTTGCATGTAGACATTTTTCATTTCATGCATAAATTAAGAGGAATAACATTTTAAAGAGCTTGAGTAGACAGTAACACTAGTAGTTTCTTCATGCATTAGTCATTTTTTAATTCATTGTTTCTGTTTCTGAATTTCTAAGATTTTTATTATGAAAAAAATTTTAATCGCAATGGTTAGATTAGTGATAGCTATTTAGTTATTACTTTCTTGTTATCTAAAATGTTTGGTTTTTGTTGGCTTTACTCTCTAGATTAGAAAGACAGTTTTTATTTTACTTATTCTTGTATATTTCTCAGTGTATTAAGTTTATGTTTTTCCCTCTCCTATTTGTATTTTAATAATCTTTTTTGAGATTTTGAGTGTTTTATGATAAAAAGTTGATAGTTTCATAATCTTTAAAATAAAATTAACTTAAATCATTATTCTTAAATAAAAATTTAAAGAGTTTAAAAGTTAATAGTTTCCAGCTTTTGTCTAGCAATTTTTTTGTCTAGCAGTTTTCAGATTAGATTGATTAAAAAAAATATTTTCTTTAGGTCTAGTTTGCATTATTTTAAACTTATGAATTTTTAAAAAGATTTATTTTACTTATCTATGCATACAAGTTAGTTAAGGTATAGGCCAGAAGTGTG